CCTCTTCATAGACAAAGAAAAGAGATCATCGTTTTTTTCTTTCACTTCAATCTTGATTTACATGTCAAGCATTCCACTAAATAAAAATATAAATTGGTATTTATGGCTTTGTTTGGGGTTAGCATGTTACTAATTCAAACCTTATTATCCGGCTTGTTTAATTATCAGCAGGCTGTGTTCAAGGGATAAAACTAGTTCAAATTGAAGTTAAGGGTCAAACACACCGTAACACAGAGTTAGACACCCCATCAAGAGATGAATGTTGCTGACCGCTTGCTCTTCTAGTTATACCAACTTTGGTAATGGCCGCAGGATAGCAATACACAGCGGTCTGAGGAGCCATAAACATACCTCAATCAAAAAGCCACTCTATAGCCACAAATAATGCACAGAACAGCACCTAACTTCATCAACAGTACATATAGGGTCCCAGCCATAGCTCTAGCCACCAAAAATCTTTTTAGCTTTGCCTGATTTCTTTAGCAAAGAGACCAAACACAACTCACCCACTCTCTTCCAGCAGCCGCTTGTTTGTAGCGAGACCTCAGGCCAGTCTATTACCAACTGCAGTGGGGTGACGCAGCTCAAGGAAGAACATTTAAGATCATTTCTTCATGGAAATGCAATCAGACTGAGACGCTAAGGCAGAAGAACTCCTGCGTCTCCAGTGCAAAATGATTAATATGATGATTATTACTTCAAGGAAATGATAAAGAAAGAAGTCAGCAACATTCATCTCTCAAGGGGGTGTCTAACTCTGTGTTATGGTGTGTTTGACCCTAACTTAATTTTACGCCAGAATATCCCTTTAAGTCTGATTGGTCTAGACCCCATAACAACAAGGATTAACTCTTAACAACAAAAGCAACCCAATCATCTACATCATATTTAAGTAATCCACAGAAAGGAGTCTGACACATCTCAACTCTCCATAGTGATGATACGTGGCAAAAACATTGGTTTCCATCTCAGGCTGGTCCCCGGAGTCAGTTAGTAATAACAGTTAATGGGCACATACGTGGGAGCAGCCAGGGGGCTGACTGGGCCCCAGATCATCTCTTACTGAGGAAGTGGAGCAAGATCCTGACCTGCAATAGGTGACGGCAGCAGAGCTGGTGAAATTTGAGCAGCTACTTTTCTTAGCTGTATGCACACATAGTTTTTAAATCAATGAAATTATCCTTAAATCAACATTGTGTGCCAATCTTTAGTTAGTAGGCGGTTTAGCAGATAATGTAATTTGAGCAGAATTGCAACAAGGTCTTGCTCACCCTCTCAGGATTCTGGTTTGCATAATAACCCACTCACAATACATTATCCCCAAATAAACACTGAACAGAAAATATTCATTTACATACAAAGAGAAACCTACAGGATTTTTTTTATTTTCCTGACATCTTCTTTTGAAATCCTACTAAAACAACAAATAATTTTCTTGTGTGTGTCTGTTTCTAATTTTCATGAATGTTCCCGGAGTTAGCTTAGTCTAAAGGCTCTAAAAAAGGTACAAAGGTATTCTTGCTCTCTATTAGGTGTGCAATCATGGTTTTTTAGACTGACACGGCACTCAAATTGAGAACTGAACACATCTGGGCATCTACTTCCAACATCCAATACAAATGACTTCTAAAATGGCTGTTTTCCATTGAATGCATTAGCTGTTTACTCCATCTGTACAAAACATGATCCATTAGCAAGTACGCTAAGTTCAGTTCTTGTGAAGCTGGTTTTGTTTGACAGTCATGGCAGCCATCTTGCTACAAACCTATCCCATATCAGACAAACTGCTGTGATTCGCCAAAGCTAAACCAAGCTGGAGGGAAATCTGTATGAATGGGAAACATACCATCCACATCTGCCAGAGCAAATAAAAACATGAGCTCACAGTTTTGTCTGATTCCCAGGGTAGTACATGTGTAAAGGCTATAGTGTTTTCTTTTTTTTTTAACCAGCCGTCAAACCAAGAGCTCTTCCATACTCTGTCTGACCTCTGAGTCAGTGGAAGAAAGCTTAAGCACATCAAGGCCAAGCAAGATTTATTACTTTGTTCCTGTCCATATTTTTATGGCTTCATTACGATCCACGGAAGACCCAGTATTTCTATATTTTAACGCTTTCAGACACATTTTTATGTCCAATTTGAACGAGTTTAATTGTCCAAGTTTAATGTAACTCATCCTTTCAAGACATGTCAAATTTAGTCAAAGGTTTGAGATATGCGGTGTTTGTCTGACTACATCCATGCATCCATTAGCAGGCTTTACAACAAAGAGTGGGTTTCTGTTTTGTAATGTCGGCGTTTCATCTCAGTTGTATAAAGAACTTTTGATGAACTTATGTACAGAACTCATTTATGTACTCCAGCAACACCCTGACAATGTTTCACTTAGCTCCACCAGCTGAGGCTGCGCTGTCAGCCTGCACGAATCATCCAGTTCAACTAAAACATGTGTTTCCCTTTTGCACCCTCAGGATGATCTCAGATGCACAAAGTCATGTGCTCCCCAAGTACAGCTTAATTTAAAACATCTCACTTTACTGACTTGGTACAACGTGATCTGTATCAAACCTTAAAGGTTTGTCGCGTATTGTGAGAGAGAAAGTATGTACCAAACATAGACACAAAGTGAGAAACTCCCCACGCTAATGGGCGAGCGGGACAGTATAATCGCTCCCTTGGGTGAATAAACCCTTTTTCAGGAGAGGTAATAGCACAGATACCAGGCCAGGGTGAGTTTGATTTGTGTTGTGGCATAAAATTGTGAAATCTCTGTCATTACAGTATCTCTGTCCTGTCATCACTCTCTTTCACACAGATGTGTGCACAGGACTTCAGCCCACACATACAAACGCACACTCTAAACACGCAATCTAAATTAAAGCCCAAATTAAGTGTCTCAAAAATCTAACACTATCATGGTTTGGATACTTTTTCTGCCCCTGTCGTCTAGACTTGCTTGTTTATTCACATTCTTTCACCTTCCCTTCTCTATTTTTTTCCAATAATCAGCATCAGGATAGGATTTGAAACGGCAAGAAATTATTTCCAGTATGTTCAGCACAAGAAACAGATCATTTCCTAATTTATATTTATTTCATATGATGAGTGCCCCAGGCTCGCAGCTAGAACCGACGGCAGAGTGGAAATCATCCTGGTTTTTGCAAGCACCAAGATCAAATATTGACGTTATGACGATAAAGATATTGTGTTTCATCAACCTATTAGAGTAAATATTATAAAAAAGCACATGTACACACCCTGTGGGTTACTTTGTGGTCTGCTGAAGTCTTATTATAGCTGCTGTAAAAACACACACAGCACAAAGATCATGAGAAATTTAACAAGACGTTGAATCAGGATAGGATTTGAAACGGCAAGAAATTATTTTTCCATAATTTCCAGTATGTTTACTGCTAAATTGCCTTCAAAATGACCTAACTCATAACATTTCAGTTTCCCCAAATATTTCGATCTTTGTCGATGCAACATGCTGTTTGTTAGCAGAGATGAATGGATCATCAGGTTGAGAGAAAATCACCAAACAAGACGATGAATAACAGTAATAGAATAAGTCTGGTGCTCACAGTTTCCATTCGCTATAGCTCAGTGGAGTCCGATGAACAGAAAATCCTATTAGGAAACATACTCGTCATGTACTGTAGATGAAGCACTGAGCAGCATGTAAAGGTCATGACCCTGAACATGTATGAGACATCTTGTAGTTTTTTATAGTTGGTAAAGGTTTCAAGACTCCAAAGAATCTATACTCATTATAGATGAGGAAAAAGAGAGCCTCATTATCTCATGGATTTTTATTTTTATTTTTTAGATGGATCATGTTCAAATACTGATTTATAAAGTGTCCTTTTAAATCCAATCAAGAGACTTCATTGGCATTTTAAAAAAAATAATAATCATTTTTCAGGAGAGGATAAAATGTAAAATGCAAAGGTGAAAGAAAAAGGATGCAGGCTGAACTGATGTCAACTGATCACCAAAGCAGGAAGGAGAGGAAGAGAGGGGACAATATAAAAGAGTGCTGTTTAAGAACTTTATACCTTTTACCAATTCTTTTGTGCTGAATTAGAAGAAGAAGAAGAAGAAGAAGAAGAAGAAGAAGAAGAAGAAGAAGAAGAAGAAGAACTTTATTGATCCCCGTAGGAAAATTCAATTGTCTGTTGTCTCACGTAATATGTCTATAAAAGTTATCTATTAATTACATAAGAGTTGTAAAGTCTGATGGCTGTTGGTACAAAAGATCTTATAAATCTTTCTGTCCTGCAGAGGAGAGGAGTCGTCCACCACCATTGGCCCTTTGGTCCATCAAGGTGTTGTGAAGTGGGTGATCCATGTTCTTTAGAACAGTCTCCACCTTCCTCAGTGTAGATCTCTCCACCACATCCTCCACTGAGTCCAGCTTGAGTCCAACCACAGAGCCAGCCTTTTTCACCAGTTTGTTAAGACATTTTGCATCTTTGTGTTTGATGCTTCCTCCCCAGCAGACTGCAGCGTAGAACAGAACACTTGCTACCATAGACTGATAAAACATCTACAGACGTCCATGATCGGAGTCTTCTCAGGCAAAAAAAAAAATGGTATACTGAGTGGTATATGCGTGTAAATGTGATTTTATTTTCATGTGAAGCGTCACTATAACAAGAATCTGAATCTGGGTTATGAATAAAAAAGTGACTGAGTCTTAATACCTGACCTTTTGCTGAGCTCCACTTGTGGACTCTGAAGGTTCGTATGAAGATATTTTGGCTTGGTGGTGGTGAAAATTAATACAGTTCAGACTGAAATAAACTCTGACTTTTTTGGTTCAAGCCCAAAATTTCTATAATGCAACATGATAATGTCATTTGTGGGGTCCTCTCTGCCTGCTCAGTAATAATGTTTTCACTGTACTGCCACAATTTGTAACACAGGCTTGTAGTGAAGAGCATTTTGTGCCTCAGCTTTGAATAGGACAAATAATACGACATCAAGAGAATAGATTTCATAATAAATATTGACTTTATTTAAGCTACAGTACTATTTTCAGTAAAAGAGACTCTGAACATCATCAGTAAGGATGTGAATATACAACCTTTATATAATACTAGGTTTTAACGCTGCCTTACAGCGGCTGAATTAATGGGTTTAAGTGGAGCTGATAGGAGGTGAATGTGCATGTATCCAAAGTGAAAATAAATAAACTTCTTCTGCTCTCACTTTGTATAGTCAGTGTTAATACAAGAAGAGTTCCTGAGTATCCATGGTCTGTTAATGATCCTTATGAGCTGTCTTTTGACTAACTTAAAGATTTCATCTCAGCCGTGAAGATTTTTGACTTTGACTCAGACTAAATGACATCGATATGGTATCAGTCAAGCAAACAGTGCTGGGTTTCCAGTGGTAACATGGGGGAGAGAGAGAACAGGCCAGCCTTTGTTAAAAAGCTTTAGTATCAGTGAGGAAAGAGAAGCCATTGTGCTTGAGAAAAGCCTCCGTATGGTTCATGTCCTCAGATTGTAATGGATCCACAGCCCCAGTTTAACAAACACCACTCACTCCAGACCGCAGTATATGCATTTCATCGACCTGTTACTGGAAATGAGTGGCCTTGTTGTCATTAGATTATTGTGCATCGAACAAACAACCCTCTATCCTTCTGGTAGAGACCTGCAGTTTATGGTGGTCTCATGAAAATATACAACTTAACTGAAGGACTAATTGATAGAGACCTGTTTAAACTAACTGCTGCCTGTGATACCAAAGATTACAATGTAAACAACCATTACAGGGCCAAGACTAAAAAAAACGAAATAACCACATTACAAAAATATCGTTTTGCCTTTTTTAATCTCACCAAAATGAATACCTCTGTTCCTGAAAAGCGAGACAGAGTCATCTAGTAAACACTGAGTCCCCCACCCCCAACTTTACAGATGGTTTCAGAACATTTCATGGTTCATTTTAGGCACTTGGAATCAAAACAACATTTCCTTTCTGAGCAACAAATACATCTTTGGTCCAGTATGTAATTTAAAAAAATATAGCCAGAGTATGAAAATAACACCAACTTCAAAGTTTTTTTTTTTCCTCAAAAATGTATTTTTGACATATATAAAGCTTCATAAAGACTTTTTTCAATACTTAATCAAGATATTATCGCTACATCTCAGACATGACCAGCAATCTTACAGATGTTTTGCAAGACAAACGTGAGAAAAAAAAATGATGTGTCGGCTCAATCAGTACAGCAGTACAGGATTGTTAAAGTCACATTTGGCAAACACGGGTTCCTTTTATTCTTTTTTTTTTCTGGATTTTCAGTCCATTTCTTTTCATGGTTTAAGAGTGTGGAACAACATCCACCTCTCACACTCAGCTCAGCTACAAGGTAGCCATGTCTGATACGAATTACTGCACGGCGAGATCTGAGGCGGCTGCACATGTGCAATGTAATAATTACTGAAGTTGATGTCCTGCACGTATGGAGCTGGCTGGTAGTAACATGTGACATTCGTTACAGTGGGGATGGCGTTCTGCTCAGCCAGAACCTTCAGCGCCAGCATGGAGATGAGGCTGAGAGTCTGCCGGCGCTCGTGGCCCATAAGACACACGGTGCTCTCGTTCACTACATGGTGCAGAGTCATCAGGCACTCATAGCGTTTGTGCTCCATCCCTGCAAAGTGGTTCTGCAGGTAGGCCTCCAGCTTCCGTTGCTGCTCCCCAATGTCAGAGAAGTCAATGAAAAAGCGGGAGCACATGTAGCGCTGCATCTGCTTCATGTCTGCCTCTGAGGAGGGTCTGAACCCCCGTACCAACAGGTGACAGTACTTCAACAAGCCACCCCCTCTGATCTCCTCAGGACTGCGTGTGGCTATGGTCCTCTGACACAGGTGCTCCATAGCCTCCATAAAGTCCCCGTACACGCTCTCCCCGATCACAGTGGGATGAAAGCTCTCGGACATGGGTGTCTCTGAGCAGCGGTCAAATAAAAGCAGAGAATCCAGGCAGATCTGGAAGGAGTCCACGCTGAATTCAAACTGCCGCCGTAAAGAGTCCACAAATTTTAACTCCACATTCTTGCCAGTGTTGTTGGACAGCGAGATGAGGCTCCAGCGGTCCGTGTCATTACAGACTTTGACTAGTTTCTGTACATAGGCTTCTTTGAGGGTCAGCGCACTGATTCGCTCCTTCGAGACCCCGGCTGGCAGGAAGTCAAACAGGCAGTCCAGCACGACATCCTTCACCAGGCGGAAGGCCTGATCATCTTTTAGTGACACACCAAAGATCAGGTCCAGATCCTTGTAGCCCAGTCCTGTATCCTGATGGAGCACATGGCTTGCAGCCGAACCATTTAGCCTCACGTCCTTTACACACACGCCCCTCTCCTCCAGCCTTGCCCGCACCACCTGCAAAGGGACAACACAAAGACCCTGCGTGTTATTAATGACACACAAATTCTTGAAAGTATCTTAAAATGAAAAGAAAAAAAAGATAAAAGATACACATCTAAGGAAATGTGAATTAAACCACATGGCCCTAATGGATATCAATAACTTGCAGAGGCGAGATCAATAGTGCTGCTCACTGGAGTCTATTTCATCATCATCAGCATCAGTCTGAATGAAACCTAAAGAGCCTGAACAAAGAGCAGCAGAGCAGGAGAGCCTGTGATCCTTCAGGTCAGTCTCCATCTCTGAAGGATCATCTCATTGAAGTGAATGGATTTTTTTTATCCTGAATTATGGCCTAAAGGGAGTGAACATCTGTATGGAGGAACGATTATTTCCAAAACTCCTCATTTTGGCTTCTCAACCTCAGATCAGTGAGGGTCAGGAGTGTTTCCCCTCATCTGTCCCAGTGACCTGGAAGATGTTTAGAGTAGAGGTCTCACCTCGGGGCAGTCAGGAGAAGAAGGTAAACAACTGGACAGATTATACTAACTACTGCTAAGAAACACAAAGGAGGAAACACGTCTGAGTTCTGGATTAAGCCATCAAACACAGATTGAAATATGCTATTTCCTAAAGAGAAAAGACACTACATTTGTGCCATGAAACATTTGGAAATCAAAGTGTTCAGCTGAAACTTCAACAAATACCTGTGGCTCACAAGTTTTATCTGGTGTGTTGTTTCAGATATTGGTCAAGCTAATTCATTGTTTGCACAGCAGCACACTGACACATAAGGCAGCCTGTCACAGAAAAACCTGACTTTTCAGCTCTGCAACCACTTTAGTTTTGCAAATAAAAAGTTGTACATAAATCAAAGAATAAAACCTGCATTGCAAATGACAGCCATCATACATTTCCATACAATCCCAGCTCTCCCACTGCACCTGTTAGATTAAACTCCTGTAACTCTCCCTCCCATGGTGATCAAATAACCAGCCGGCACTATTAATACATACTGGGTCAGGCTACAGGCAAATAAACATTAGGAAGATAGTTACACAGGAGCAGGGAAAGCTCTAAATCTTGATACAGTGGCAGTAATGTCATTGTGATTACTCAGCAATAAAGCAAAGGTCACTGGGATTAAAATCCAACCAGAGGCAGTGATACTGTCGCTTCTTTTCTCTTTAGAGAAAGTGAGGCATTATGCCAACACTTGACACCTAGTCCCCCTCCGCCCTCTGACTGCAGGTGTCCTGTCATTCTAGCTTGATTTTAGGTGAGATTAACTTCTTTTGCAATAATTGCAACATTATGAATGTGAGCTGAATCTACGCTTATCTAAGAGCTCAAGTTACAGCTGCGTAACTCTGCAGGACAAAGGTTCACATTCTGTAATGATGCTGAGCAAAAGACTCCATCTTCAGCAAAACAGTGTCACTCCAGTCCTCACTCAATAGTGTCATGACAAGAGGTTAACTGCTGATCAATCCTCAATGCAAAGCCCGGCACATTTCAGCGGGATACAATTACACAGGGTTTCCACAAATCCAGGGGAAACAGAGTCCCCACATTTAGGACTCAAACCTGCAGTTAAGCTTCCTGCACACTCAATGGAGCATTCATTTTCCGCAACCACAAGCATGAAGCTCCAGGCTTTACAGGCAGCTTGAGCTCATCCTGAATATGTCAATGTGTGGAAGTGAAATGGGATTACACAACAGGTTACCCAACTTGGACAATGTAGAAGAATCAGCTTCATGATATTTTTTATATTCTATCACAGGCTTTAGCTCGCGCAAACTACAGACACGACAGTCTGACAATGTTGAGTGTGATCCGGCATGTGAAAAGTCTTAGGCGTGAGTCTTTCCCAAACATTTTAAACACATTTCTCTCTGTTATCTAAATGTGACAATGATGGATGCTCTGTTAAATCTGACTTAAGAGCGTTTCTTTTCAAGAGGACACTTCTCGCTCCATCTGAATGAAGAAATATGCACAGCCTCAACAACAGGCGCAATACTGAAGAATCATATTACTGCTGAAATTGACCTTTTGAGGGGGATCAAGCACCTCCAAACTGTCAAAATTGAAGAATCAGATAAAAAAACAATCAAAATGCAGATTTAATTGGTCACAGACATACTACTGAGACAGTAATAATATTAATATTCATGATTGTTACTTGCTTTTGTTTATATCAGACGCCTTGAAATTAGAGTTTTGAAAAGTTTAACTACTGTTGGAAATATAGATGTAATACACAGATTCTATAAACGTGAGAGAATATGCAAGGGTGACTATTTTATCAATAAATTCAACTTTTTCTACAAGAAGGCGACTTGTTATCAGCTGTCATGTTTCATGTTTAAGGACATAAACAGAGGCTATAATCCTCACAAGCTTCCCCTCACTATAATTTGTCAATCTATCATATATGAATACAGTGAGGATGTGTAGTTTGGCAGGCTACCTGGACGATCTGGCGCGGCTGCACAGACAAAGTGGGGAAGTTTCCTCGCCCGTGGATGGGGACAGCCTCCCCAAGGATCGAGTCCAAGCGTTGCACCTGATCCCACGACAATACGCAGAACCTCCGACTCTGATCCGAGGCATCACCGGTAGACATGTCGAAGTTAACTTTCAGCCCCCCTCCCCAAATAAGAGAAATAAAAAGAGATGGTAGATCAGCGCGTGTTCCCAGCTGAGTCTTGTATCTTCTCTTTGATGAAGAAGTGAAGTTATTCCTCTGGAGATCAGGTCCGGTTAGAAATGTCGAAGAGTGGAGGAGAAAAGTTGTTGGAGTCTGAGATCTGGTAGTGACAGTGGGTTCACAGGATTCCTCCGGTGTGTGCCGCTAAAATCCGGTCAGTCTGTAAAGAGGCGATTCATCAGAGGGTTTAAATCCTCCTCATTAGCATGTGCGCTCTGATTGGCTGCTGAGTTTGGTCATTGATTATGGACGCCCTGTCTACAGGAAACACCCTCATTGACGCATTTATAAGCCCCTCCCCTCCTTACGCTTCCTACGTGCGGACAGGGTTTTCCCTGAGACAGGCCCACTGTTCCACTGCTCTCATGATCTGCGTAACCTCAAATGCGGTAAATGTACCAATAAGCATGTATTAATCAAATATTTGGACGTTTATCATAGATACTGAGTTGAGCAATTTATCTGAATCAGGTCTCAGCTGTGCAAACACAGTTTGTTCCTTCCTTCCCTCCCGTATTGTATTTTTATTATTTGCAGAGTGAATGTTTGCAGAGCATGCAGGATGTTTTTTCCAGCTACGCCCTGCGTCACAGCCATAATACTGAAGGCTATGTCATGGTCAAATAAAACTATAGAAACTCCTGGAAGAACCTGGAGTTCAAACTTGGGCCACTGGAAGCACAGGTTGAAGACAAAGTATTTTTCTAAATAAAATAGAAAAATAACTCTTACAGGGCCTCTTTGCTGTGAGAATCAGAATCAGATTCTCTTTATTGTTCCAAAAGGGACATTAGTAATGCAGCCGGAGCACACAAAGATAGGGTACACGGTGACATACAGTAAGATTAGTCTAAAAGTCAAACATGATAAAAACAACACAATAAAAGAAACACCATACATTTACACAGGATCGCTAAAAAATAATGTTCAGTCCAGAGCCAATACCAAAACTGGAAGGACAATTGCTTTAGTAAATAGTGAAAAAGTGCAAAATGCGGATGAAAAACATGGGAAACCCAAGGCCTAATTGCCATTCAGTTAATGAAGGGATAAATTAGATACTACACTACAATCTCTTAGTCCTCCTCATAAGGGCCCAACAACAACGGCCTGATGGCAAAAGCTCAAATTCATATTGCAGAGGGTGGTTAGGACAATCCAGAATTGCATTAGCCTTCCTCATGACCTGTCTGTTATAGATAAACATGATCCCTGTCTGCTGACTTCCCAAATTTTTTCCTGCCATTTTAACAAATTACCCCACACGATTCTTGTTGGATCAGTTCAGGTTCCCAAACAAAAAGTTAAAACAGATTCAGTAAAACTTTAATAAAAGGGGGTCATCATCTCAGAAGAAACATGAAAGTTTCGCATCTTCCTCAAGAAGAACAACCTTTGCTGAACCTTTTTGGAGGTGACATTAGTGTGAGGTTCAAAACATAGTTTATTATCTAAGACCACACCCAGATATTTGACGCTCTCCACCATCTCAACATTAGCACCCTTGATAACAGTCAGGGGTGGGAAAGAGGTAGTCTTCCTCAAATCAATAATCATGTCTTTGGTTTTCTACTCATTCAATTTAAGAGAAGAAGGGTTGTCTTAAAATAAGGTAGATGCCAACACAACTACATTAGCTCTATAGGTAGGCCTCCTTAGGCTGCTTTATTGATGGCTTGATAAATGTACACGACTATACTCACAGTGAGTGATTTTAGCCATCTCTGTTGGACATTTAAGAGAGACATGTACAAGTAAGACTGACCAGGTAGGCTATAAATAAAATGGCAAACAAACATCAGAGGAAAGTAAGAACAAACCCAATTTGGTAAAGCTGTATGTTCCCGTTCCTGTTCCTGTTCCTCATGTCTCATCACCTCTAAATTTGTTACGCCATTTTGAATCTGCAATTTTCATTTCATTAAAATGAACACCCTTAACAAATAACCCCTGAATACATGTTCTTTGATTGGAAGTTAATGATGCAAAGTAAAAATCATGTGAGTTCTCTGTCAGGTTCCTCATGTTTATTTGACCTCTTTGTAATTCCTAAATCTGCCTGTCTTTTCACATCAATAGAAAGATGGTCACATCATCTGTTTTCATATCTCACCCTGCAATTTATTATGTGTTTCAATGCAATAAGTATCCCCTAATGAAGGCCCTGACACTATGGCAGACGTTACTCACAATAGCAGACATTACTCCGTCATTGTTGAGAGGGCCTGACAATTCTGCCCATGTGTCATTTTCTAGTTAACCAAACAAATAAAAGCTTCAGTCATTTCCTCTTTTATAATGGCTGAAATATGTCATCCCTGTGAAATAAGTATCACCTGTAAAATGTTAACAAGAGAATAAAATTCATTTCATGATTGATCTGTGTTTGCAATACAATAATAAAAACAAACGTTTTTTCACATGCATTTATACACTTCTTTACTCTGGTCTACCATACACACAGATGGAGGTCAACAGTAGCCTACCTAACAAGCCTCCATGACATTGTGGCTTGTACTGTGGGTTCATTGTCCGCGAAAGATCACATCAAACATTGTGATGTCAACATAGTCCTGTTCCCTTGGCAACAGCATCTGTGGTTGTCGGGCAGCTGGGCAGCAACGTCTCCAGCTGAGGGTCCTGCCAGGTGCCAGTGTGCGACACCTGCGTCATTTGACTATAAATAACCAGGGATGTGGCAGCTGTGCATCCTGTGAGAAAAGGCTGCTTTTACCTGAATTTGATACAGTGGGTAAAGAAAGAGAGAGAAGATTATGATGGTCAATAAATGTCATTCGCCACTTGACATTCTCAGGTTCCCGTACAGCTTCAAGTCAGGGGCTGCGGAGTGAAAGAAAGAATGACACAGTTGAGGTCTAAAACAGTCATCGCTCTGTGTTTGTCACCTTGTATCATCTTCAGTGGATCTCTGTTTATCAAGGTAACATCCTGCTTAAGCTGAGACTGTGAGTCTAATAGGTGCGGTGAGATAACCAGTATTTAAACACACCCTGAACCAATGATGCAAAAGACATGCATATGTTCCAGCCGAAACCATAATCAAACATTATTAAACAATTTGGAGCCCTTGGGTACAATATAATCAAAGTAATTAACTGAAAGTAAGTCAAGCACATCTGTCGTTGTCACTGTATCCCTGCTCAAAGATTATTAAAAGCTGTGAGATTGTGTTTTCTTTTTGTTTCTTTGCCAAACATTTCTGTCTACGTTTGCCTCTGTGGCAGTGAGGGAGAGAAACAAGGCAGAGCTTTTTCTTGAGAGCAGGGACACGGTTGGACGTCACAGAGAGTTGTAAAAGCGTGGCTAAAAATCGATGTTCCTGAACAACTGGCAGTAAGGTGTCACGGTGATCAATTGTGCAGAGACAGATAGCGTCACATCTGTCGCACAAGATTAGCCGTGAAGTCATCACTGGTGTGTCAGGGCTCTTATAGTCTGAGTGAATTATTTCCCCTCAAAGGACTTCCCTCATCTGTCACTGCAGCACATTCACATGTTATACTAGAAGAGCAAGCTATTATTAAAGTGTGTTTCACATAAACAGAATTTCTAGAGGAGTGATGCTGCGGCTGCTGCGTATGCTAATCTGAAGGTACCTGTATGTGTAAATCAAAAACTTAATTGCGTCAATAAATAAAAAGTTTGTTTTCTTTGGACGCTCTTTTTCTTGGTTTAAGATAACCTGATTTTAGTTCAACCAGGTTGAGCTAACCAGTCAGAATACCTGTGTTAAAGTGTGTTTGAGTGAATGCGTGATAAGAGAGGTAAATTTGCTTTCCATGATTGCTCCAGATGACATATCTGTGGGACAGAGGAACCAGATTACGTAAGCAGCCATGCCTCTGACGGCAGACTCCCTCAACTGCCGGCATGATTGATTACAGTAGTGTTTTAAAGGGCTGAAAACAAACACACCAAAACACACTATGGATTCAAGTGGCATTTTTTACACCAGTTGAGAGATTGAACTGGAGAAATGACAAATCAAGTATTAAGTGTTGATTGGTTGTAAGTTTGGTTCCTGTTATCTAAGGAGTGTAATTTGAGAGTATGTGCTTTGGTGTCTATGCTACCTTTTATCCAAGAGCTGTGGCTTCACTTTTAGCCTTTTCCACAGGTTGGGCAGGTTTGTAGTGCCTTAGCCTTGGCAGTATCTTTGGATAAGAGAGGCTGCTGCATAGCTGAAACGCTCTGAAGCTCAATGGTCAAATATAGCGTTGGCTGTTATGTAACACAGTTCACTTTACTCTCTGAACAGAAAAATAAGAGTTTTGTCAAGCTGGAAGACTGAGAAACACGCTGACCAAAAAAGAAAGAAGAATCGTAAGCCCGATGCTTATATGTTTTTTTTTTGTTTTTTTGTTTGTTTGTTTGTTTGTTTGTTTGTTTTTTCAGAAGAGGCTCTGCATAAAGAGATTAAAAAAAGAAATAAGAAAAAATTGTCCAAGAGTTTGATAAAAATCCATCCCCTTATTTCCCCCTTACATATACTTTTCTTTCTCGACTCAGCATATGTATATCTAAACATGTGCAGTTCAAACCTATTTGTACTTATGGAAGACCTCATGTAACAGAGGAATGTGTGGCCCTGGTAATAAAACACCCTCAGCTCTCCCTGTGCATCTGAGACAACCTAACTTGGACAGCTTCCTTAACTGGAGCTTAAATCACGTTATGCAACAGCACCCTCCCCAACAGGACATTTAGGGTCCCTGTTGAACTTAAATTTCCCTGTCAAATGCTACACTTCCCAGCGTTGGTGTTACTGGATGAATGGCCCTCAATCTGGTCTTATTCTCCTCTGATCAAATGCCTTCAGCTGCACTACTGGCATGCGGACACCAAATAACAGCTGTCTGCAATGTGCAGATACTGCTGAGTCAACAAATACAGCCACAAAAGCCGAAAAATAAACATTATCTTTAATTTTCTAGAGCGGACATTTCATAACCAAAGCTATTTTTTCTTTTCTCTTGAGAATTTACCAGACATGAGAGGGAACCCCTTTTTAGCTGCAAGATCTGATTTCATTCCTTGAAATCCTGCCCCGTCTCGCCTCAAATCCGTTAGCCGGGAGAAAAACTCTGGGCAGTTTGGATTGTTAAAAGGCAGAGAGTGATTGTGTCAATTAACCAGACACA